ACTGTAATAGCCCAAAAGGAGTACTAGTAGCCTCAACACTCGTCGACCTATCCAGAACGGTTATCCCGGTGAGAGTCGCCAATGTAACTGAGAAGGCGAGAGTTATTAAGAAAGGTGAAGTGGTTGCAGCATGTACTCCAGTAACCAGCGTTGAAAGAAAGAGTAACATCCCAGAATCCGTGTCCTCAGAGAGCATTACATCGGAGTTATTGCAGAATGCACAATTAAACGTGCTGCCGAAAAATGAAAAATGAAGAAATGCTGCCGATCGCGTCATTAAAGATCTTCAAGTTGTTTTCTCCCGCTCGTCTTCTGACGTGGGTCGAACTAGTTTGACACAACATAGAATAGATACGGCGATCATCCCCCGATCAAGCAACATCCAAGACGTCTACCGTTTGCTAAACAGGAAGAGGTGCGAACACTGTTAAAGGATATGGAAGAAAGGCGATGTCATCGAGCCTTCAGCAAGTCCATGGGCATCTCCCATCGTTCTCGTCAGAAAGAAAGACGGCTCAACAAGATTTTGCGTTGACTATCGCCGGTTGAATGAGGTTACGAAGAAAGACAGTTACCCTCTTCCTAGAATTGACGACATTCTAGACACTCTTTCTGGAAGCAAGTGGTTCTCAACACTTGATTTAAAGAGTGGGTATTGGCAGGTAGAAATACACCCTGATGACCGAGAAAAGACGGCATTTACTACGGGACAAGGGCTTTGGCAATTCAAGGTGATGCCGTTTGGACTGTGTAATGCGCCGGCAACATTCGAACGTCTTATGGAGACTGTTTTGAAAGGCCTTTCCTACGAAGCCTGCCTGATATACCTGGACGACATCATCATCGTCGGAAAGAGTTTTGAAGAACATTTAGAAAATCTTAGGAAAGGTGCTTCAGAAACTGAAAGAAGCCAATCTGAAGCTGAGTCCCGCTAAATGCAAATTGTTCCGAAAGGAAGTGACTTACCTGGGACATGTCATCTCTGCAGAAGGTGTGCGCACGGATCCTGAAAAGGTATCAGCGGTTAAATCCTGGGGACACGTCCCGAAAATGTCCATCAGCTGAGAAGCTTCCTAGGGCTTTGCACCTACTATAGGAGATTCGTGAAGGACTTTTCTTCCATCGCAAGACCCCTTCACAAGCTGACAGAGAGCAAGCAAAAGTTCTTGTGGACAAAAGAATGCGAGGATGCATTTAACAACTTAAAGGAAGCTTTAACATCTGCTCCAATCCTGACGTATCCTCAGCTCGACAGACCATTTATTCTCGACACCGACGCGAGCAATGAAAGTGTCGGTGCTGTTTTGTCCCAAGAAATAGACGGCCAAGAACGTGTAGTGGCGTACTGGAGCAAGTGCCTGTCTAAACCGGAGAGGAATTACTGTGTCACCAGGAAAGAGTTGCTCGCCATAGTCAAAGCTGTAGAACATTTCCATCATTATCTATACGGCAGAAAATTCCTCCTCCGCACGGACCATGCCATCATTGGCCTGGCTTTTAAATTTCAAGAATCCTGAGGGTCAAATAGCCAGGTGGATACAGAGACTCCAAGAATATGACATCACTATCCGTCATCGTAAGGGATCATCACACGGGAACGCCGACGCCCTGTCTAGAAGACCTTGCCCAGAAAGCTGCCGATATTGTTCCAGGGTGGAAGCGAAATACGAGCTGCTGACTCCGGTCGCAAGACAAATTACAACATCAACATCGGCTGATCGAGACCCGTGGAGTGATGATGAAGTCAGGAAAGACCAGCTGGAAGACCGCGACATTAAACCCATACTTGATTTAATAGAGTCATCAAACAGAAAACCTACATGGCAGGACATTTCTATCTGTAGTCCTACAACAAAACAATACTGGGCACTCTGGGATTCACTTCACATTCGAAACGGCGTCTTATACCGGAAATTCGAAGTCGGATGATGGGAAGACGTTCCGATGGCAACTGATACTTCCAAGATCCCGGATTCCTGATGTCCTTCAAAGAACTACATAACAGCCCTACAGGAGGTCACTTTGGAATTATGAAGACCTTACAGAGAGTTCGTGAGCGCTTTTACTGGAATAATGCAAAGGATGACGTGCAAAAGTGGTGCCGATCTTGCGATGCCTGTGCAGGTCGGAAAGGACCGAGGAAACGCAGCCGAGGCAGACTGCAACGTTACAACGTAGGTGCGCCTTTTGAACGTATCGCCTTTGACATCCTGGGACCTCTGCCACGAACTGCTGATGGCAACAAATACATACTCGTTGTCATTGATTACTTCACCAAGTGGCCTGAAGCTTATCCTATTCCTGATCAAGAGGCTGTCACAGTAGCTGAGGTAATGATACAGCACTGGATTTCCAGGTTCGGAGTGCCTCTTCAGTTACATTCCGATCAGGGAAGGAATTTTGCCTCGGCAGTAATCAAAGAACTATGCAAACTACTCGGCATTGACAAAACTCAAACGACGCCATTACATCCCCAGTCGGACGGCATGGTAGAGAGGTTCAATCGAACCATCCTTAATAACCTCTCATTAGTGGTTTCCAGAAACCAACAGGACTGGGACAAGAAATTACCACTCTTTTTACTGGCTTACCGCAGTGCTGTCCACGAGACTACCGGCTATTCTCCATCACAGATGCTCTTCGGTCGTGACCTTCGTCTGCCTTGTGATCTATTGTTTGGCCGCCCTCCGGATGCTCCTTCATCGTCTGAGGAATATATTCAAGATCTCCAGGCCCGGTTTGAAGTGATGCACAACTTTGCACGAGAGCGAGTCAACTTGGCGACGGAGAAGATGAAGACCCGATACGACACAAGAGCTACTGAACATCAATTCCACGAAGGAGACAAGGTGTGGTTGTGGAATCCGACTCGACGGAAAGGACTTTGTCCGAAATTACAGTCACCTTGGGATGGCCCGTACACAGTCCTAAACAGGCTGAATGACGTCGTGGTTCGGATTCGTAAGTCTTCGAACTCTAAACCTAAAGTCGTTCATTACGCAAAACTAAGAAAAGAATGTTATCATTTTTTGTAAATATTTTTGAGTGTATTTTTTTTTTTTTTTTTTTTTTTGTGTTGTGTTGGAGCAGAGATGTGAAAAATGTGCGGTGTCCTTCCCGAGATTAGACCCCTGAACCTCTTGAATGCGCGGTGAGTATTCCGCCAAGTACACCACGAAGGCATGCGGAAAGGCTGGGGATGAGGAGACTCATTCACCAAGTCCTGGTGGTGACGAATTATAGTCCACCACCTTTTAGTTCAGGCGCTACTATAGAGACATTAAAAATTTTTTCATGTCAGGAAACTGAAGAAATGATTAATGCTCTCGCCGGAACTCAAACCTTAGAGCTCTCGAACACGCGTCGAGTATGCTTCCAATTTCAACAAGAACGCACGCGCAAAGGAAGGAGAAAATACCTTATAAAAGCCCTTGATTCAATTTAGAAAATGCATCAAATAATCCTTCGGTAGCCAGTGCTTTGACGGTTTCTCTTCTCCACCTTCTTTCTTATTCCTTTTTCTTCTACAATTCCATTTTGAAGATAATTAATTTGTCATTATTGAGTTTACTGTCTTCATCATCTATAAATTCGTCGACATCTTCCATATTCATGTCTAGATTTAGCTTGCATACTTTTTCTACAATTTCTACGACAATTTTTCCGAAGACATTATGCTCACTGTATTTAAGGTCAGTAGACAAACATGTTATACTCTTCCCAATGAATGAGTTCACCAGGCATCAATTTATAGAAGTGAGAGAAATGAAGACACAAAGGGAATAGTTACTTTGAAGATGACTATGACAGTGACATCATACGCTCAGTTAATAAGACAATGACATCACACACTGAAAAGTTTCTGCTCGGGAAGAGCAAACATTTTACGTTGAGCGTACATTTCCAGTGGTTCCTGCGGGAGCAACCTTTTCCAAATTCTTCGCATACATTGATCAGTGTCTTCTTTCCACAAAGATTCAATATTCTGGATACGTTGACGAATATCGTATATGTATACATATTATATGTGATATTTTAATCGTGATATTTTCTTTTTATTAATGTGATATTTTAATGCGTAGTAATGTTTAATGTGATGTTTTAATGCGCGATGTAACCTGGTACTTTATTTTCCGGCAATTGACATGGCTGGCTGAATGTAGAGGCATACAAACTATGCTAACAAAACTGAATTTGTAGAATCCCCAAAATTTATTTTTACACACATCACATCATTTCTTTACAGATAATATACTTTTAGATCATAGTTGAATACAACAATTTTTATGCACACGGGTTAAAAAGGTACGGCGTCATCTTAGACAGGAAAGCATTGCAGCGCAGATACGTTTGCAGGGCAACAGTTAGAAAAAGGAATGACATAATAAGTAGTATTTATACTACGTCGATGCACATGTACAGTTAAGCTGCGAGTGGTTAATTTTAGGTTTTAGTTTCCTTTTTTCAAGAAGCATTATGTAACTTCAAAAGATCTCGAATTTGGGAGTACAGATGAACTTAGGGAAAGAATATCAAATTTAGAATGATCAATTTTGAGGCCAATCATTTCTTAACGCATGCCATCATATTTATTATATCTTACATACATATGTAAGATTTAATAAAAATAATGAATAAATGTAATACGCATGATATAATAAATATATATTTTTTAAATACTCAGCAATCTTCATCGTGTTTTTGCAGATATCTCTCCATAATAGTCTACTAAGACAGCAGACAAATAACGAAATGTAAAAAAACAAAGGCACATATTGTATATTGTAGCCGCAGCAACGATTTAACGATCCCACTACATTGTATGAAAAAAAAAGGTGGGCGTGTACGTATATATATATATCTTATACGTGCAAATATTTTGTTCCATTTATGCTTTAAATTTAGGCAATATCTAGCAATTGCAAAAAAACAAATAAAACACTCTACGGTAAATTAATTAAATTTTAACAGAAGTAACGGCATTTGACAAAACAAATCACCTGATTAGTTCGATGACATGTTCCCGGGGCGATCGCATCACATCTTCCCCGTTGATTTTCATTATCTGGTCACCAGGCATCAATTTATTTTCGTTAGGACCACCTGCGGGAGAAAGAAAGAAGTCGGAATTATTCCATTTACAGAAAATGAAATTAATGTCATCTGATGCTTTGAAAATGACTTTTAGTATACGAAATGAATTCAGAGCAATACTGCGGTTTGAGTTATTACCAACAATCTATAACAAGTGGTTTTTTTTTTTTTTTTGTTTGTTTTGTTTTGTTTTTGTTTTCAAATGGTACATAGAGAATGTACTGATAATAAGCGAAAATTGATTTTGAGAACATGAGTAAATTATGCTTAATACCTTAAAAATCAGTTTTGAATTCATATGAACAAAAAAGTAATAAACACAGCTACATTCATTCAGAAGTTTATTTTATAATAATTATTTCATTTTAAGAATGTTTTCGTGAAGTTTGGTTTTTTTTTTTTTTTTTTTTTTCTTTTTTTTTTTTTTTTTTTTTTTTTTTTTTTTTTTCTTTTTTTTTTTGTTTTTTTTTTTTTTTTTTTTTTTTTTTTTTTTTTTTTTGTTTTTTTTTTTTTTTTTTTTTTTTTTTTTTTTTTTTTGGTTTTTTTTTTTTTTTTTTTTTTTTTTTTTTTTTTTTTTTTTTTTTTTTTTGAGTTTTTTTTTTTTTTTTGTTTTTTGTTTTTTTTTTTTTTTTTTTTTTTTTTTTTTTTTTTTTTTTTTTTTTTTTTTTTTTTTTTTTTTTTTTTTTTTTGTTTTTTTTTTTTTTTTTTTTTTTTTTTTTTTTTTTTTTTTTTTTTTTTTCTTTTTTTTTTTTTTTTTTAAGCATTATTCAGAAACTCACGTATTTAACATCAAGAATTTATTCAAAAATTCGTTATTTATTTATCGAATTTATCGAATTTCAAGAATTTATTTTATTTCCCATTTAAATTACTTTCCAAGTAAGTAAGTGTGGAATTTTGTATAGAATTTCATATGCACAAAGTCATTAAAAATAATCTCTTGATTATAAATCATTATATTGTGCCTTATCACATATCAATCAATCTTATTTGTTAAACCACAGCAATTAGAAAACATTTAAGTTTTAACATAGGGACGGACGAGGTAGCCTTGATACACACAATAGCTCTGCTCTGTAGTTACGACGAGGTAGCCTTGACATACACAGTAACTCTGCTCTGTATTTATGACGAGGCAGCCTTGACATACACAGTAACTCTGCTCTGTATTTATGACGACGCAGCCTTGACATACACAGTAACTCTGCTCTGTATTTATGACGAGGTAGCCTTGACATACACAGTAACACTGCTCTGTATTTATGACGAGGCAGCCTTGACATACACAGTAACTCTGCTCTGTAGTTATGACGATGCTCGAGGCAGCCTTGACATACACAGTAACTCTGCTCTGTAGTTACGACGAGGTAGCCTTGACATACACAGTAACTCTGCTCTGTAGTTATGACGAGGTAGCCTTGACATACACGGTAACTCTGCTCTGTAGTTATGACGAGGCAGCCTTGACATACACAGTAACTCTGCTCTGTAGTTACGACGAGGCAGCCTTGACATATGACATACACAGTAACCCTGCTCTGTAGTTATGACGAGGTAGCCTTGACATACACAGTAGCTCTGTTCTGTAATTACGACATTATCATTTTTAACCAGCCGTTCGTATGGAATATTCAAATAAAACGCGTAGTGCGTACTGTTCCAAATTTATTATAATTTCCAAATTAAATCCAAATTCCAAATTTATTATAATTGTTCAACGTCTTGCCAGCGGCGGAGGGGTGAAATCGCTGAACACCGATAGTTCGACCTGGGCTCGATTTCAGGAGAATGCTGGCTGCATGGGCTGTTTTTGTGGTTTTCCTCCATGTCTAAAGCCAATGTCCCAAAGAAAACCTTCCACGAAGGCATCCCTTCTCTTAGCTACGTAACCCTGGCGTGCTTTGCCTTAATCAAGGGAAAGAAACTATGGTTGCTTAACGCAGTTTTTGGCGAATTTCATGGGACACAGCCGCTCGTTGCATATTTATCACTTTCTGCATTACTAAAATCACATCAAATGTGATTCAGCATGTATGTGGGAAAGACGAATTATCGAGTGGTAAAGACAGCTAAATACTGGCAGTTCGACTCTGGTTCGAACTCAGGCGAACGGGTTTGCTTCATTTTTGGTTTCCGTGAATTTCTTTATATGTAACGTGAATACGAGCCAATTTCCCTCAAAACATTTTCCATGAAAGTATACCTATACCTCTAGGCCTGACATGCTTTTACATATTCAAATAACCTAATCAGCATCTATGAATGGATTCGGAAAAAAAAAACTTTTAATATATACAGGACAGCCAGAGGAACTCATAGTGACATTTGCAAAACATTTGTAAATAATTTGAAATATAATAAGATCGAAATTTACGGGTGCATTATATGCCGGATATAAAAAATGACATATTTAAAAATTAGCAAAAGATGAGCATACAAAAAATAGATTTTTGCATGTACCTAAATGCTGTTTATTTAAAAGAAATGACATATGAACTAAAAAATATTCATTATCGGATAACAGGAGAAGTTCGTTTTATTCATTTTCCGTTATATTATTCGGCACATTATCATATTCTCTTTCATCTTCAACATTACTGTTACTTATAAATAAATAATCATCTTCTGTTCCATTTAGAATGTTAGATGTGCTGCATTTTTTATATGACTTTGGAATTATGTCGGGTTTAATTTCATTCCATGTTTTTATTATGCACTCACATATTATTTCTAGACTGGCATGACGCCTTTGGCCTCCTTTTATAAATGTTTTTTCACCTTCTAACATTCACGTATTTCACTGCTGGTTTAAGGTTTCTTTGAATGGTTTATTGACAAACGCATCTAAAGGCTGAACTAATGGCTTTAATCCGTCTGGAATAACTGCCATTGTCTATATTACACTCTTTCAACAATTTCTTCGTATTACCCGTTAGACGGAATTTGAACTTGTTCCAAACTAAAAGACTTTCTGAATTATTTAAACAAACAGGACGTTTTTACCAAACACTTCTCATCCACAATTTCACATCGTTTTCGTCCATCCATACTTTCTTGGGAACGTGAATGAAAACACCATCTGGGAAATTATTACATTTTGGCATCATCTTTCTTTTAAAAGTAAATATGGGTTTTAATTTTATACAATCCGCTAAGCAGAAAAGCACTACGGTGAGGTGAGATTTTTCTGTTGTTTTATATGAACCGTTTTTTCGTTTCTTTTACGTCATTTGGTTTATTTCCTACAATAGCAGTTATTACTGGAGTTTCCTCCATATTTCCAATATGATGGAGCAAATAAATTTTTTGCCTTCGTAGCCCAATAACATAGAGCCTTTATCAGCACCACACATATTTGCTGCAGGAGGATTTTCCATTTTCTTTCGCAAATTGAATGACTTTGCATTTTAAACCCACAATGAGTTTATTTCGTATTGTTGTAGACATATTTACTACTCAAAGGAATATTAGATCAGCTGTATTTTAGTTAAAGCAAATGCGGTTTACTAAAGCCTTTGATGTTCAGTTTAAGGACGCTTTAAAAAGCTACAGAAAGAGAAAGCATCTGACTTCTAATTCCAAGAATTCATTCTGGTCGGAAGTGCATTCTTACCCCCAAATTATATCTCTCTTTTCTAAAGTAATCTTCCTGTGCACATCTGCATTGAATACAACGCATCCTCTTTGCAGAATTATTTATTTCCTCAAAACTTCCCTCATACATTTCTCTTATTGCTTTTCAATTCAGTATATGATTAATACCTAAGAAAAGTCTTCGAATGAACGACTTTAAAAGGTACAAGTACTGCACATGTATCATTCAAGTTTCTTCGTTACGGCGAATGTACCTAAAAATTAAAAAATGTAATTTGAAATAATAGGTGCACGTAATATTGGATAATATATGGTACTTAAAATTACTTCGCAACTTTAAAAAAGGTTAAATAAGATTTTTTTTTTAAAATTTAGAATTAGTTTAAATTCTGAATGCCGTTTTTTTCTTAGCATATGATTTGCTCTAAGATCTTGAACTCTAAAAATTTTGAAAATAATTTGTTTCCCTCCTCTTTCATGCAGCGATGTTTTTTCTCGCATTTCTCTCTTGGAAGTTTTAATTTACGAAATTTTCGCAGGAAAATGCTGGTTAGTCAGTTCAAATCTATCATGATCAAAAACAAAAAACTTCATATTGTAGCAGGATGATTAATTATTCCGTGATATTTAACGGTTATGATTTATTATCTATTCGTGCACAATAGTGTTTTGGAGAAGGGTAACCTTACGTCTAGAAAATATTTACCAAGCATTTACCTTTACGTAAAACTTTCTCCATCGTTTCGGAAATTTCCTGTCATTTTTGTTATTAAAAACCAGGAGAAAAAGTTAGGAAAGACACAAAAACTGTATACTGCTTATATTTTTCAGACAGCTGCCAAATTATTCTAAAAACTATTACTTAGAACTTACCATGTTATCAATAGTGTTTTATGCCTTCAAAAATGTCTTCACTTACTTGACATGCAGTAGTTGTAAGTCTTATTGAAAAAAATAGAAGTATTAAATTTAGAAAGAATAGCGGCTGCTATTTTCCATGATATGAGACAAAGTTTTTTGACAAAGTTGGGCATGGCGATTTAATTTTTAATAAATAAAGTTCAACTATATGCCTGAACTTGCAACTATGATGATATCTATTTAAAGGGTAACAAGTTTCAAGTCCTCAATTATAATGAATTCTTCCGTCAAATATATCAAAGCAAGTGGTCAACAAGATCCTTTGCTCTTCAAGAAGGATACAAATGACATCTCCAAGACTAATTTTTACCCAATGTAGGTCGCAGAAGTGCAATGAGTCGGTAAGGTACACTAATGTGCAAACATGCAGTGATATACAGGATGACCCAAAAGTCCGTTAACATTTGAAAATTCAATAATTCAAGGAATAAAGTAGGTGGAGATGTAAAAATACGATACACATACTTGAAATGACATGGGTTTTATTGAAAGCG